TTGCGGTGGGCCGAGATTGCACCACTACACTCCAGCCTGGTGACAGAGCAAGACTCCGTCTCAAAATAATAAGAATAAAAATAATAAGAAGAAAATAAATAAATGCAAGCCTGCCTGCCTCTAAGTAAATCAATAAATCAATAAATCAATAAATAATTAACTTAAAAAAAAAAAAAAGAAAACCAAAGCAGAGTAAGGGGATAATGAGTAACGGGAATGGCAATTCAGATAGGGTGATCAAGGAAGCTGTCTTTCAGGAGATGACTTTGGAACAGAGTCCTGAATGAAATGAGGAAAGGAAGTATGTGACTCTCTCATTCATTATGGGAATGTGTGCTAGTTATGGTGCTTGTTAACTGCATCCTTTTGGTTCTTAGTCACACTTCTTTATATGGGTACCGAACTATTTATATTTCTATGACTTAGTATGCCAACCAGATTTTACAGTCAGGGAAGGAAGTGCCTGTACTTCCTGTGTCCTTTAAATATCCTCCACTGATTACATAGTTCCCATTACTAACTTAGTACTTGTTGAATGGTTTCAGGTTTGGTAAATGAACTTGGAATTTTAAGTCCTTTGAAGAGCAATAAAGAATAATAGAGAATAAACAGAGAAAAAGGATAGAAAAATAAAACATAAAATTTCAGCTCTGTATATTTAAGATTGGCAGAATCAAAACAACCACATACACACGTCCATAAAAACCACATACACACATCCATAAAAACCTAATCATTAAATCTTTGACAAGGTAGAATCTCAAATAGGCAAAGACAGATGAACGGTCATAAAACACACACAACAAAGCATATACAAAAACAGAGATTTTCCTGAAACTCTGTGCTTGGAAAAAAAAATAAAGAAAAATGTTGAAAACTATTTTTAAAATGGAAAGAAACTAATTCGTAAAGAATAGAGCATCCATAAGTATTGTAAAAGTGTAAGTCTTATTTGACTGATCAAGAGAAAACTTAATGAAAATAAAAACTGTTTAAAAAAAGTTTTGGCCGGGCGCAGTGGCTCAAGCCTGTAATCCCAGCACTTTGGGAGGCCGAGGCGGGTGGATCACAAGGTCGAGAGATCGAGACCATCCTGGTCAACATGGTGAAACCCCGTCACTACTAAAAATACAAAAAATTAGCTGGGCATGGTGGCGCGTGCCTATAATCCCAGCCTGAACCCAGGAGGCGGAGGTTGCGGTGAGCCGAGATCACGCCATTGCACTCCAGCCTGGGTAACAAGAGCGAAACTCCATCTCAAAAAAAAAAAAAAAAAAAAAAAAAAAAAAAAAAGTCTTAAGCTGGGTGCGGTGGCTCATGCCTATAATCCCAGCACTTTGGGAGGCCGAGGTGGGTGGATCACGAGGTCAGGAGATGGAGACCATCCTAGCTAACACGGTGAAACCCTGTCTCTACTAAAAAAAAATACAAAAATTTAGGCGGGTGTGGCGGCACCTGCCTGTAATCCCAGCTACAGGGGAGGGTGAGGCAGGAGAATAGCTTGAACCTGGGAGGAGGTTGCAGTGAGCCGAGATCGCGACACTGCACTACAGTCTGGGTGACAGAGCAAGACTCCATCTCAAAAAAAAAAAAAAAAAAGATTTTAGGAACATCACTGGTTTTCAGTCCCATGTAAGTGTTTCCTTGCCAAGTTCATAGATTTTTTGCTGTTATGTAACAGCTTCATGAAAATAGGACATCTGAGGCTGGTGCAGTAACTTATGCCTGTAATCCCAGCACTTTGGGAGGCCAAGGTGGGTGGATCACAAAGTCAGGAGTTTGAGACCAGCCTGGCCAACACGGTGAAAACCCATCTCTACTAAAAATATGAAAATTAGCCAGGCATGGTGGTATGCACCTGTAATCCCAGCTATTCAGGAGGCTGAGGTACAAAAATCAGTTGAACCAGGAGACAGAAGTTGCAGTGAGCCAAGATTGTGCCACTGTACTCCAGTCTGGGTGGCAGAGTGAGACTCCATCTCAAAAGAAAGGAAGGAAGGAAGGAGGGTAGGAAGGAAGGAAGGAAGGAAGGAAGGGAGGGACGGAGGGAGGGAAGGAAGAAAGAAAGAAAATAGGACATTTGGAATGGTGGCTCATGCCTGCAATCCCAGCACTTTGGCAGGCCCAGGCAGGGGGACTGCTTGAGCCAGGACTTTGAGACCAGCCTGGGGAACACAGTTGGCTTCCCCCACCTCCCCCCATCTCTGCAAAACATAAAAAAATTAGCCAGGCATAGTGGCCCATGCCTGTAGTCCTAATTACTTGGGAAGCTGAGGTGGGAAGATCCTGTGAACTCAGGTCAAGGCTGCAGTAAGCCATAATCATGTCACTGCACTCCATCGTGGGTAACAGAGTGATACCTTGAAAAAGAAAGAAAGAAAGAAAGAAAGAAAGAAAGAAAGAAAGAAAGAAAGAAAGAAGAAAGAGAGAGAGAGAGAGAAAAAGAGAAAGAAGAAAGGGGCTGGGTGAAGTGGCTCAAGCCTGTAATCCCAGCACTTTGGGAGGTCGAGGTGGGTGGATCATGAGGTCAAGAGATCAAGACCATCCTGGCCAACATGGTAAAACCCTGTCTCTACTAAAAATACAAAAAAAAATTTTAGCTGGGAGTGGTGGTGTGAGCCTGTAGTCCCAGCTACCCGGGAGGTTGAGGCAGGAGAATTGCTTGAACCCAGGAGGCAGAGGTTGCAGTGAACTGAGATTGTGCCACTGCACTCCAGCCTGGTGACTGGTGACAGAGCAAGACTCTGTCTCAAAAAAAAAAAAAAAAAAAAAAAAAAAAAAAGAAGAAGAAGAAAGGAAGGAAGGAAAGAAGATAGGAAGAAAATAGGAAATCTATGCTGTCTCTTTGTCTCTTCAAAGAAGGTAACCCGACACCAGCAACAGAAAATACCAATGCTGGCCTGGCACGGTGGCTCAAGCCTGTAATCCCAGCACTTTGGGAGGCCGAGGCAGGCGGATCACAAGGTCAAGGGATCGAGACCATCCTGGTCAACATGGTGAAACCCCGCCTCTACTAAAAATTATTTGGGCATGGTGGCGCATGCCTGTAATCCCAGCTACTCAGGAGGCTGAGGCAGGAGAATTGCCTGAACCCAGGGGGCGGAGGTTGCAGTGAGCCAAGATCGCGCCATTGCACTCCAGCCTGGGTAACAAGAGAGAAACTCCGTCTCAAAAAAAAAAAAAAAAAAAAAAGAAAGAAAATACCAATGCCATCAACTGAAATTACTTTGGATAGTCTAAGTAACTGTAGATAGTCTTTGTAAGTAGAAATTCACTAACCTGTTTATCTTTTATAATTCTACCTACTTTAAAACCTAGTAGAGCTAAGCTCTAACGAAAGCTAGACAAAAGCTTTCATTAATCACTTCTGATATTCAGGTAAACCAAAACATATGAACAGGCAATAGCTTTGGGTTCTTATACAGCCTCAATTATGTGTTAGTCAACTCAAGCATCCATTATGTACTCAATAATAGGTATGACACAGCTCTGGACCTCAGTAACATAAGCAGACAGGCACCGGCAGCCTGCATACACTCCTTTTCCCGGGGTCAACATTATTAAGAAGCATGAGAAATAGTAATGAGACAGTGTCTTCTTCATTAGAACCTTGGGAATCTCCTAGATTTCTACATCTCTATTTGTAATAGCCAGATTGTGCAAAAAACACGGTCTTGAGAAATGATAGCACAGTATCTTAGAGGGAAAGAAAATGTAAGATGCCAATGTGGGGACAAATTTCTGATTGCCAGTGATTGTGAGCTTAACAATAATTTCGTGAACATGAAATCCTCTACTGAGGGCAGCTGCAGTTGTAAAGGAAAAAAAAATGAAACTTTAAAACTACACTGGTGTACATCGTAATTAAATAAAATAAACATAAGAAAAAAATTTAAACTTCGTTAAAAAAACAAACAGGAGAAACAGCTGGTCTTTAAGAAGGCACGAGGTTGCTTATTCTGAAGCATTTCTAGAGTCCGATGCATTTTCAAAGCTGGTTACAGTCATTACCAAAGCACACCCTTGTGAGGTAAGTGTATCATCACCTTTGGTTCATAAATGGAAAAGCTGAGGCGCCGAGTGATTAAGTCACTCGCCTAAGGAGAATGAGTCAACGTCAAGAGTCATAGTTGACCCAGCCTAACGACTCCAGACCAGCAGTCCAGGGCTTAGTCAGCGGGGCCCGGAGTGGCTTCCCTGGCTGGCACCTGGACTTAGGCTACTTCCGTGCACGTTAAAGCAGAATATTGGAACGGTTGCACAGAACTTCCAAATAATTTTTACTGCCACGCAAGATTTAGCCCTGAGGTCCTAATCTCAGGATTCGGGATAGGAAAAGCTGTCCTCCCCTCCACCTCGCCCCAGGCCGGTGGCAAGCGGGTACAGCGGGCGGTTCTGCCCATCCCTTTTCGCAGAGATGGCAGCGAGTGACCACCAGCATTAGCGGAGCCAGGGGACGGGGGAGGGTTCATTATTGCCTAAACGACTCTGCATCGCTGCCTCTTTTTGAAACTAAGAGAAAATGGTGGGAGGTCAAAAGAAAACTAAGTAAACACACAGGAAACTTGTCCTGGGACCTTGACTAAGCAAATGAAGCCTTATTGTGTGTCCTGAGCCTGCAGTTCCCAACCTTTCGGGGAAGATGGGCAGACAGGGCGACATGGGCCACAGAAGGCATGGCTGGCAGTAAACGTGACCGCAGCTATTCAGGCGGAAGAGCTGAGGACTGCAACTATCCTCCAGCACGCGAGTGTCCGCCGCGCTGAGAACCGCGAACCCTACCGATCGACCACGTGACCAGTCCTTTTTAAAAAAAACTTCTTTGCCTAAAAAAAAAAAAAGGGTGGGGGAGAGACTCCACTTCCCAGAAGCCTCTCGTTACCCACGCAGCCGCAGTGTTGCGCAGGCGCCGCCAGGGCCAAACGGACACGTCCGTCACGTGGCCAGTAGCTGGCCAATCCGGTTTGAATCTCATTTTTTTCCTCTCTCACCCCCCCTTCTGGAGCGGTTGTGCGATCAGATCGATCTAAGATGGCGACTGTCGAACCGGTGAGTATTGCCTTTAGCCCCCACCCCCACGGGTCCCCGCGCTCCGTCTCTCTTCCGACTGGGAGAGTCCACGGGACTGCGTTCCCGGCGCGCACTCTACCCCTTGCCGCCCCCTCCCCCTCATGTTGGACCTGAACTCCCGCGGACAAGTGGGGAGGTCCCGGAGGCTGGCCGAGGCGGCGTGTAGCGCACACTTTCTGGTGGGGGCCCGAGAGCTGGGGGAGCGGTGTGGGGGAGGGGCGGCGTGGCGCCTCCCGTGGAGCCGCGAGGTATCTACAGGGTGGAGGGTAGCCGGGGCTCTGTGCTAGGTGTGTGGGGATGGTGTCTTCGTGATCGGAGGGCGCGGGGCCGGCTCCCAGCCAGCCCTGGGATCCGCAGGCAGGGTGGGCGGTCAGCCGGCCTGGAGTGAGTTGGAGGAGGGAGCTCCGGGGCAGCCTTTCCCTTCCTCCAGAGCTCCAGCCCCGGCGCTCGGGTGTGGGGCGCGCGCACGTCTTCCTTAGGCGGGTGGACTGGGGAGCCGGTGGGCGAGTGTTGCCGGAGGATGGGTTAGGCGGGAGTGGTGCCGTTGCACGCGCACTGGAGCTTCGACCTCGCCTCGGGGAGTTGAGAGGAGCGAACGCCTGTTAATCCAGCGTGCTGGAGAGTTAGAGGGGTTTGCGCCAGTGGAGGCGAGAAAGGTTTGGGGTGGGGAGGAAGACTCCTGTCTCACGGTCAAGCTCTCCAAGTAAAATTAGGGATGGTGGTGGTGAGAAGGGGTATCATATTGTCCTCGCCCCTCCATGCTTGGGACTGGGCTGTCATGGAGGAGGGAAGGGGGTGGAGCGAGGCCTACTGATCGCTTTAGCCGGTCGGCTAGCCGGCCGGACCTGCTTCGTTTCACACGCGCTGGTCTTCCATTCATTCATCCTTTCCGCGCAGTGCGCACGCCTCAGAGAATGCAAATGGGTCTAGAGCCCTCTGTTCTTCGAGTCTTTATCGCCTGGAAGATTTCTGAGACGCAGTTTATTGGAAATAGAAACTTTTAAATTTACTTTCCATTTGATTTTTTTTTTTCTTTTTATCCATGCTACAGGCTTTCCTTTGAATTTAGGCACCGTTTTAAACTTAACTGAAGGAAGTTGGTCCCAGGGTGGAAGGTTTGTAGTTACTCTTAAAGCAGAGTGTTTTTTTCTTATTTTGGTTTGCTAGTACTGGCTCACTGAAACTTCTGGGCCCCTGTTGCCTTTTTAGAAATGACGCAGCTAAGTGACAGTGTCTTGGGTGCATAATGGAGTTTATTAGTGATCAGAAAACCTTTCACACTCTGGAACCAGCTAGAACTTGGTTGCCAGATACTTTTGTGTGTCTTTTAATGGTAGCCTGTGGTTTTGCTAATGGTTTACCAGTTTGCTTTGACTTTTAAAGACTTATAAAACGATTTCAAAAACTCTTATAGACTACACAGAGGCTTATTTTTCATTGTGTTGCTGTAAACTCTGCTTACCTTGTCAGAATTCAAGGCAGCTTTTCTGCTTGCTTACTTTTTTTTTTTTATTGGCACCAGTTTTCATTTATGTTCCTGGGAATTAGATTGACTGAAGAACTCTTTAAGTTGTTGATATAGTTAACTGACTTTAGGACATTAATGCTACATAACACTAATGAAGGATAAGTGTGTAAAACATAAATGTTAAACCCTTTTGACAGGTTCTGATGTCCACTTTTGACTAGATCTCTTCCTACCCCACTATACTGGTGTCAGTACAAAGCATTACATCTGGTAATAGGGGCAAGGCTACAGGTCTGTAAACTACAAAACAGTAATAAATTCTGTTAAGTTTCTATCACATTGAGGTCCTTTGGATTTTGCAGTTTTCGCAGTTTTGTTTCAGCAGCACAGAACAGAACTACAAAGTGATGAAGGACTATTTTGAGCTAGTAAATATTAAAAGCTCCTGATATATCCAAGGTCTTGTACCAAGTGTTCTTTAGGATACGAAGTGATATGAGATGTGACTCTATACCTTGTTGAATGTAAATTTTTTTTTTTTTTTTCTGATACGGAGTTTCACTCTTGTTACCCAGGCCGGAGTGCAATGGCGCGATCTCAGCTCACCACAACCTCCGCCTCCCGGGTTCAAGCAATTCTCCTGCCTCAGCCCCCCGAGAAGCTGGGACTACAGCGTGCGCCACCATGCCCAGCTAATTTTTTTTTTGTATTTTTAGTAGAGACGAGGTTTCACCATGTTGACCAGGATGGTCTCGATCTCTTGACCTCGTGATCCACCCATCTCAGCCTCCCAAAGTGCTGGGATTATAGGCGTGAGCCACCGCGCCCAGCCGAATGTAAATTCTTAAGGAGCTTAATTCCTAGGGATGTGGTCAGTGATACAGTATTTGTTCTGGTGCAGACTGGGAGATTTGGATGGTACGTTTAAATTTGGGGAATAGGATAGGGGAACCTAAAAACAGTGTGCGAAGGTGGAAACTAAAGTATTTTGAGAATGTATATAAAATAGTATCAAAATGTTTATTTTTAGTGGAAAATGAAAATTTTTAGTACTTTTAATGTACCCTTGTCCACAGGCTGGTTATGTAGAATTATTTTTGGCAGTTTTAAATAGTTGGATTTTGTGTGTGTGGGGGGGTGCAGGATCTTTCTCTGTTACTGGGGCTGGAGTGCAGTGGTGTGATCCTGGGCTCAAGAGATGCTCCCATCTCAGCCTCTTGTGTAGCAAGAACTACAGGCGTTGGCCACCAAGCCCAGGCCACCACTCTCTTTTTTTTTTTTTTGAGATGGAGTTTCTCTCTTGTTACCCAGGCTGGAGTGCAATGGCGCGATCTCGGCTCACCGCAACCTCCGCCTCCTGGGTTCAGGCAATTCTCCTGCCTCAGCCTCCTGAGTAGCTGAGATTACAAGCACGCGCCACCATGCCCAGCTAATTTTTTGTGTTTTTAGTAGAGACGGGGTTTCACCATGTTGACCAGGATGGTCTCGATCTCTTGACCTCGTGATCCACCCGCCTCGGCCTCCCAAAGTGCTGGGATTACAGGCTTGAGCCACCGCCCCCGGCCTCTCGGATAATTTTTAAATTTTTTGTGGAGATGGAATCTCGTGATGGTTACCCCGGCTGGTCTCAAACTCCTGAACTAAAGTGATTCTCCCACCTTGGCCTCTCAAAGTGTTGGGATTACACGTGTGAGCCACCAAGCCTGACCTAGATTTATTTTTGAAGCAACTGGTAAGAACTGGATTGTACTTGAGGTACCCCTGCTGAAGCCTGCAAAAGTCATGTTTTTTGTTACTTCAGCTAGCATGTGAGCTTCCATAATGCTTTTCTGCTGTGCGTAATCGTAAACACTTAAAAGGAGCCATGGGTTTTTCCTCCCTATCCCATTATTTGTAGGTATCCGGATGATTTTTTTTCCATGGACGTGACATAAAGTATTTTCAGCTTGATATTGTTGTGTGTTCTTCCCTTTCTATGAGTTCAGTTACGGAAGATGTGGCCCACAGATATTAAATTTGTTGAGAAGCTTGAAAGGGAAAAACATTTTACCTCCTAACAGATAATTTGGCAAAAATTTAAACATAAGGACAAACAATACTCTGCTGTTATTCTATTGGCATTTGAATTGTGACTAGGTCAAAATTAGGTTTAATACTAGTGTGTGAAAATGACAAGGCAATTTCCTTAGGTCATCTTACCTCTAGTGGGTCTTGTTTCTTTGTAGCTTCATTGTTATTCTACATCCTTCATCCTTCACTATTAGAATTAAACGTTTTTTTGCAGTTCCTTTTGAGGTAAGAGATTAATTTTGGTTTCTTTAGCTTAACTGAAGGTATATAATTTTTAGCTCTTGGAATTTTTAAAAGTATATTAATTTCATAAGTAAATCAACTTGGACAGTCAGCTGATCTAATGCTTCCTTTTTTATGCTTTGGAAACATGCTTTGTGCTATGCAGCTTATTAATAAGAGTAAATAAGGCTTAAATACATATTGACAAATATGTGTTGTGGTATTTAATTCAAATTAATGAACTATTGAATGCCAGGCAGACTGCAAATTAATGTTTTTTTTTTTTTTTTTTTTTTTTTTTTTCCTTAATGGAAGAACCCACTATATCGGAGTTCTTCGATAATCCACATAAATTTGGTTCTGGTGTTCCTGTTCCAAATTTCTTCAGTTAAAAGAAAAAATATACCAGCCTGGTGTGGTGCTTCATATCTCAGCATTTTGGGAGGCCAAATCACTTGAGGTCAGATGTTCGAGACCAGCCTGGCCAATATGGTGAAACCCCATCTCTACTAAAAATACAAAAATTAGCTAGGCGTGGTGTTAGGTGTCTGTAATCCCAGCTACTGGGGAGGCCAAGGCAGGAGAATTGCTTGTACCTGGAGGTGGAGGTTGCAGTGAGGTGAGATCGCGCCACTGTACTCCAGCCTGGGCGACAGAGTGAAACTCTTATAAAAAAAAAATATATATATATATATATATATATATATATATATATACCAAATTTCACACTTCATTTTATAATCAGAGTTACTGTGCATGATTATTAGACTTAGAGAAATTCAATGTAGACATTCAGTTTACACACAGAAGTTGCAGAAGGGATAATATGCAAAATGAATTATGTAAGCTTACTCTCATTTGGACAGAAAACTGTAGGAAAAAAACATTTAAGTAAAATATTGTTTAATTTACATAAAGTTAGGAATATGATATAAGTACCAGTATCCCTGGGCGTAACAAGGAACCTGTGAAATGTTCTAGCAATGGTAATTTCTACTTTGCCTCCTCTGCTACCATTGGAAATGTCCTTAATCTATTAGTACCAGTGAGTTGCACCATTTTAGTCAGAGACTTTTGTGAGAAGTAAAAATGAGCATGGGTTATAGTCTTATTTTAAAATCTGAGTTATCTTGAAGACTGAAATTTCTTAGTCCAGCTGGAAGCTGGAATAAAATATCTTACAGTGATTTTAAATGCCATATTCAAAGATAACAGTTTG